GAAGTTTTATTACTCTTAAAATATAAAGTTTTGGAGGAATACTTTTTTGGAAATGATGGTTAGGGATCTATGGGAAAGAGTTCAGATATCAACCATGTTATTGATAACTATATATTAATCATATCATTTGATTTTTAGTCAAGTTCATTCACTTATAAAATGGTTAGTTATTGGATCTACCTAGAACAATGGCAATAGATTATTATTAAATATAAAAATATATTGTATAACATGTATAATATGATTGATTTCATGTCATATGTTAAGTTGATTTTTAATAAAGAGCTCACATTCAATATCAGTTGTGATTTAAATAAAAAATTTTTAATTTATATTAAATAATATAAAATTTAAAAATGTTCATAAATATTTTTTAAAAAATTAATACCGAAAAATTATGACTCATAATGTATATTGCATGCGGTAGTCAAAATATTCTGGAATTCCGATACACGTGTTCTTGGAAAATATGGATAAAATGGTGTTTTGGCTAGGAAGTTACGTCGCATAATGTGATAAGGAAATAAAATACAGTTGTCTCTTTTTATAACAAACTACAGATTCGGGAGAAAAAGTTTCGTTATAATCGGTGATTCCATGCATTATGTATATAGTACGTATCACCCTTGAAGTAAAGAAAAAAGCACCTTCTTGAAACCTGACGTTATGATAAATTTTCTAAGAATGGAGTTATCGCTCTATATTTTCTGAACTTAACTGTAAAACATCTTTAGCTGGTTAGTACACGTTCAAATCTTCAGTGTGAACTCATAAGAAACATCTTGTGTGTATTCAAATAATTTAGAAATGTGATACGACACGCTTTTTGCATATTTAATATTCCACATGTATGCGTCTTGCATTAAATTATTAGGAATGTTCAAAGCGGAATTAAAACGGACCGGTCCGGTAATGTTTCACATGATGATTACAGTGTAGTGGGTATTACAGACACCGTCAAGTGATCAATGAAAAAGGAGAAATACAAGGTGTAAAATACAATAATACCCCTGAAAGTGAAAGAAATAGAATTATAAAGGACGCAAACAGAAATTATAGTTTATTTATTTTAAGGAACTCGAAATATTCTTAAATTCATCATTGTCTGTAAATTATGCATTAAGAAAGAGATAATGCATTATTAAGCATAGAATTTCATTTGAACAAAAAATAAAAGAGTACAAGGAACAAAAGTCTTAATATTATGCATCAACTCAATTATATTGTCAAATTCAGGTGTCATGTTTAAAAATAAGTCACTACAAACGGTAAAGTTATCTATTCCTTTTTTCTTTTCTTTTTTATTGTAATAATACTGGTCACGTGATTTGCAATATTACACTTGCGAGAAAAAATTTTAGAATTACTTTTGTATAATATTTACATTATTGGAAATCAACATCTTGTGATTACCATCATTCATCATCATCGGGTTTATATTTACTTTCTTCTAAATGATGTATGTGACCAACATTCGAGCGATCATTATCAGAACGGCAAACTTCAATTCCCTTGAACCATTCATCTTCTAAAATGCCCTTCATTGTGGCACGCTTCTCAGGATTTATCTCAAGTATTCGACTTATTATTGGACGTGATGCTTCGGGAATTTTCTTTAACAGCCGATCAGGATTTTTTATGTATGCTCTAAACGTTGAATCGGCTTCTTTGGTCATCAACCAAGGAAACCTACCCATGCTCATACAAACGAACATAACTCCAACTGCCCAAATATCGGCAAGTCTCGGGTCATAATATTTATGAATGTAGGCTTCTGGGCATATGTATGGATCTGAACCGCATGGCCCTAAAATTAATAAAAACCATCAGTATATGACCTTTTTCTTTTTTTTTTTTTTTTTTTTTTAAAAAAAGAGAGAACTATCGATGTCTTTGTTTTTACCTTGGCAAAATATAATCTTACTGTCAAAAGGGTATCTGAACACCATTGAACAACCAAAGTCAATGATTTTTACTATTCCTTTTTCGTTCAAACATAAATTATCTAATTTGAGATCCCTATGAGAGATTCCCATCTGGTGCAGATAATTCACTCCATTAACGATTTGTTTAAAGACACATGCGATCTCTTCTTCGCTCATCTTTCTACTCATTACCGCTTCAAATAGATCATAGGGGGCGAACTGCATTATCTCGTAGAGCTGATCACTCTCCTGTAGGATGTCCAATGTCTCAATGATATTTTCGTGGTGGAGTGTTGAACCAATGCAGAATTCCGCAACAATCTTTTTAATGTATGACTTTTCCGATTCATAGGGATTCCGTTTACGAAATTGTTTTACGGCAAAAGCCTTGTTGTCAGTTCGACGGTGAATTAATCTCACTGTACCGCCCACACCGGAGCCAAGTATCTTACCCCATCTACCATACTTTTCGATATTAACCTTCTTGCAACTAGAGTAATAGGTTTTTTTCGATTTTCTTGAATTTTTTATAAATACGCTTCTTTTTAATTCTTTAAAGAATGATTTTTCACTCGATAGTCGACCCGGTTTCTTAAAAATGAACTGAGGGGGGCGTCGACTTCAGCAATTCGGATTCGTACTTATTTGAGGCCGCATAAACTGAGATTGATGATTCTGAGGTTGTCTGGGAAACTTCAGTGCTACTCAGTTGAGGAGTTATTATTAAATCGTCATTCACGGTTGCTTGCCCAAGTTCGTGCATAGTGAGACGTCTTGGGGAGAACGATTTTGCTATTTCCGAAATAGATGACGGCAGCGAATCGCTTTTATCTGAAGAATTGTCTAAAAAAAGATTTGGCAAGGAGGTAGAGAAGGTATTATCCTTACAATCTTCGAAAGATTTAATTGGCGGCATTCCGGGCGAAGGAGTCGGTGATGGTACGTTGAAATCGGACGCATAGTCGGGTTGATGGTCTTCTACCCATTCTTCAAACAGATCATCTTCATGAATAACTATCATCGGAGTCGATTGTATTTTACCATAATGTTTACTTGGTGATGGTTGCGGATG